GCTGATTTTTTTAACTTTTTGTAGAGAGAGTTCCCCTGAATTGTGCAGGCTGATCGGGAGCTCCTGACCTCAACTCTCATTAAGAGTTTGTACCTTGAGACTGGGTGTAGTGGCTTATACCTGTAATTCCTGCATTTTGGGAGGGTGAGATGCGTGAATTGCTTGAGCCCAGGAGTTTTGAGACCAGCCTGGGCAACATGGGGAAACCTCGCCTTTACAAAAAATACAAAAATTAGCCGGGTGTGGTGGTGCATACCTGTAGTCCCAGGTACTTCAGGTGAATGTTGGAGCCTGTGGTGACTGCAGAGTTCAGGGCTGCAGTGAGCTGTGATCGTGCCACTGTGCCCCAGCCTGGGTAAGTGAGACCCAGCCTTCAGGGGGGGAAAAAAAAAAAAAAAAGAAGTTTGTATCTTGAGATACATTCCTGGGAGAAGTAAATTTACTGATGATTCCGTTTTAAAAATGTCTGTTGTGTGTAGGGCCTTGTGCTGAGTGCTTCGTGATAAGACTTAGTGGCTGGAGCCTCAGAGGGCCCCTGTGTGAGTGAAAGACAAATACATAGGAGATGCTAATAGAATACTCAGTGTGTGTTGATTCCTTATTGTGTGCCAAGCACCATGCTAGGTGCTCAATGTAATCATCTTACTCAATTTTATTTCATCCTCAGAACAGCTCTATGTACTTTGTTCTACTATAGTTCCTATCTTATCCATAAGGAAACTTAGATATAGAGAAGATCAAGTCACGCTTCCAGGTATACAGAGTTCGTGAGTGGTGGGCTTTGGATTCAGGCCCAGGTCCCCTTGATGCCAGAAATCTCAACCACTGTGCAAAAATCAGGTGAATGTTGGATGGCTATAGAGACCACTTTCTCACTCTGACCGAGGTGCTCAGGAGAGTCTTTCCAAAAGACAGCGTTTGAGCTGAGGCTTTGGAAAATGCAGGAGAGCAGTGAAAGGGGCCCTTCTCACCCTGGGTTGCTTACTTTAATAACTTGCTTTTGTAGATTAAAGTTAAAAAGGAGGAAGAAAAAGAGAGAGCTGCCTTTCCAAATTCCCTTTTCCTTCATTATTTCTGGGCCTTTTAAAATCTAACCTTTCTCAAATACCAAGAACTTTTATTTCTTATAAAGTGTAGGGTACCTGTGAGTAATATGAGCAGAAGTGTTGGAATTGAGTGAGAGGCAAAGTCATTGCAAAAGGGCAGTCAGTTGAGGAGGAAGTGGGTCTTGAGCTGGATCTTGAAGCATCGGTGGAATTCAGAAAAAAAAGCAGGAGAGAGGGAGTATTTTACCGGAGGGTCACAGTGAGTGAATGGCAAAGGCGACATTCATATTCCTCCTGCTGAAGCAGAGGGTTTAGAGTAGTTAGAATGTAAGGCCAGAAAGAAACAGTGGAGCCAGGATGGGGTGGGATCTGAAGCTGTGGTGATGGTAGTTTGAAACTAATCTCATAAGGAGTGGAAACCATTGAGGACTTCTAAGCAGATGAAGAAGTAAGTGATTTGAAAATGGTACTGTTGGCCCAGTGCAGTGGCTCAGACCTGTAATCCCAGCACTTTGGGAGGCGGGTAGATCACTTGAGGTCAGGAGTTCAAGACCAGCCTGGCCAACATGGTGAAACCCCATCTCTACTAAAAATACAAAATCAGCCAGGCATGATGGTGGCACGCCTGTAATCCTACTGCTTAGGAGGCTGAGGCAGCAGAATCGCTTGAACCCAGGAGGCAGAGGTTGCATTGTGCTGAGATTACACCACTGTACTGCACTCCAGCCTGGGTAACAGAGCAAGACTGTGTTTCCAAAAAAAAAAAAAAAAAAGTGGTATTTTAGGAAAACTAAAGGTAGATACAGATCTGGAGAATTCTGTACCCCTATGGGTCACAACAATTTCCTTTCTTTACGCATCCACGGAGTGATTAGGAAGCCAGAACAATTGTCCTCTTGCAAGAGAATGGCAGCGTGAGCCAGGCTGATCACTATGGTTAGAAGAAAGAGCATCAGGACAGGCGCGGTGGCTCACGCCTGTAATCCCAGAACTTTGGGAGGCCAAAGCGGGTGGATCACCTGAGGTCAGGAGTTTGAGACCAGTCTGGCCAACACAGTGAAGCCCCGTCTCTACTAAAAATACAAAAATTAGCCGGGCGTGGTGGCACTTGCCTATAATCCCAGCTACTTGGGAGGCTGAGGCAGGAGAATCGCTTGAACGTGGGAGGTGGAGCTTGCAGTGAACCAAGATTGTACCATTGCAGTCCAGCCTGGGCAACAAGAGTAAAACTCGGCTGGGCGCAGTGGCTCACGCCTGTAATCCCAGCACTTTGGAAGGCCGAGGCGGGCGGATCATGAGGTCAGGAGATTGAGACCATCTTGGCTAACACGGTGAAACCTCGTCTCTACTAAAAATACAAAAAATTAGCCGGGCTTGGTGGCAGGCGCCTGTAGTCGCAGCTATTCGGGAGGCTGAGGCAGGAGAATGGCACGAACCCAGGAGGCAGAGCTTGCAGTGAGCCGAGATCGAGATCGCACCACTGCACTCCAGCCTGGGTGACAGAGCGAGACTCCGTCTCGAAAAAAAGACGAGAAAAGGGCATCAGAAATTGCATAGACCTTATTTACAGGTTTGAGAGAAGAAAGAAGACTAGAAGAGTCAAAAGTGAACAATGCACAGGTTTTATGGCTGTGAGAAAATAATCCCATCGGCAAAGACAGAGAAATCCAAAGTGGGAATTATTTGGGGAGAAGGAGTTTTATGCCTGTTGGCTTTGACAGAAATGTCCAGTGCACAAGAATGTAGAACTAGAGTTTCAAGGAGAAATTAGGACAGTAAAGATTATAGAAGCGACTGTCTTCTACATAGGCCGACCCGCCGAGTATGTGTTTCTGGGAGAGAAAATAGCCTAAGTGCCCTCCTATTTAAAGGGAAGAGAGTCTAATTGTTGGAGCAGAGTATGGAAGTCCACTTCTAAATTTTGGGAGACTGCATGATTTATTAATAGTAGACTATGGTGTCCCAGTGTGAGGTTTTTGTTTTTAATTTTATTTTTTGAGCAGATAAAGTAGTAAATAATGTACTTACTTGCTTACATAGTGAGATGGGATATTACTATGTTGCTCAAGCTGGTTTCCCACTCCTTGGAGGTGATCCTCCTGTCTTGGCCTCCTAAAGTACGATTGCAGGCGTGAGCCACTACACCCAGCCCAAAGTTTGATATAAAAACAACTTGATAGGGCCGGACACCGTGGCTCACACCTGTAATCCCAACACTTTGGGAGGCTGAGGTGGGCAGATCACTTGTGGTGAGGAGTTCCAGACCAGCCTGGCCAAAGTGGTGAAACCCCGTCTCTACTAAAAATATAAAAATTAGCTGGACCTGTCGGGCGTGGTGGCTTATGCCTGTAATCTCAGCCCTTTGGGAGGCCGAGGCGGGTGGATCACGAGGTCAGATCGAGACCATCCTGGCTAACACTGTGAAACCCCATCTCTACTAAAAATACAAAAAATTAGCCGGGCGTGGTAGCGGACAGTACTCTGGAGGCTGAGGCAGGAGAATGGCGTGCACCCAGGAGGCGGAGCTTGCAGTGAGCCGAGACTGCGCCACTGCACTCCAGCCTGGGTAACAGAGTGAGACTCCATCTCAAAAAAAAAAAAAAAAATTAGCTGGACATGATGGCACAAGCTTGTTAATCCCAGGTACTCAGGAGGCTGAGGCAGGAGAATCGTTTGAAGCCAGGAGGCGACGGCTTAAAGATACTCGGTAAAAAGTGCAAAGTACTGCTAATTTAGCATTGCCATCTGTAGACACGGGACATCATTGCTTTCTACTGGTAAAGTTTTAAAATGTCATTTAATTATTACATTGCTACAAAATATGCTTCGCTCAATGTCAAATTTTATATAGTGTTTCAGATTACAGAGTAGAACTGAAAGTTGATGAGGCAGGCCTGGACACTTGCTAGGTAGAAATGATTTTGTAGAGAGAAAAGCCTTGGGGTGTACTTGGTTTTTGTTTTATTATTAATTAGTGCTATATTTTGAGTCTTTTCACAAAGTGGATTTGTTTTTATTGTCTGATGTTTCTCTACTTCTCCAGGTGCCCAGATGACTATTATGAGCCAAGCTTGTGCAGAAAGGTGTAATATAATGAGACTGGTGGATCGTCGGTGGGCAGGGATTGCCAAAGGAGTGGGCACCCAGAAGATTATTGGAAGGGTACATCTAGGTGAGCAAAAGGCACTGGGGCTTGTTGTCTTTCTGTAGGCTATTTGTAGGTAGGGTAGTAGATTTTCAAGTTTTTAGAGGGTTTTTTGTTCTTATTTTGTTGTTGTTGTTTTAAATTTCTTTTTGCGTGGGTATGTCTGAGCCAGCAAGCCTAATTTCTAGAAGTTTTAAATCCTGTGTTCTGTCAAAGTTATGTGTTTCTGCTGGTTACAAAAAAACTAGTCTCTTCTACGTTTCTATTTCCTGAAAAGCTAATCCCTTTCCATTATTTTAGCTGATTTATTTTGATACTTACCTGCATATTTCTAAATAACATGTTTATTTTGCTGTTTACTTATATGACTGTGTTTGAGAGCTGAGCCATCTAATTGAATGTGATTGCTTTTCTTTCGTGGCTAGTATTATTTTCTCTTAGAATTAATAATTGTCCTGTTTTTCTCACTTGGTTTCTTGCGTAGTATTCATCCTAGACATTTCCTAATTATGCAAATCTCCTTTAAATTGATTCAAACACACCCAATAGCCTGTACATTTCATCCTGTCAAAGACACTTCTTGAGCCTGGACCGGCAGTTTCAGGCCTGCTTCAGAGCTGTTGTTTTGGAATTTGACTTGACTGAGTCCTGCAGATTCCTTTCTCCTCTGTCTTGTGTTGGATTACGTGAATCCCTTGTCTTCCTCTTTTTTATCTGCTCCTCAGTTTATTGGAGTGCATCTTCCAGTAACTTTCTTAGAAGAGGTGTGTGGCAGTAAATTGAGACTAAGTATCAGACATGTCTTTTTTTCCCTACCTTCTACTCGTCTGCCTAGGTTGGAAATCATTTTCCTTCACAATTTTGAGGCATTGCCCCTTAACCTTTTCACTGTCAGTGTTGCTGTGGTGAGGATGGATTCCGTTCCGATTCTTGATCCTTTATGTGAAAACTTTCTTTTTCTTTTCTGTTTTTTTGAAACAGTCTTTGTTCTGTCGCCCAGGCTGGAGTGCAGTGGCGCGATCTCGGCTCACTGCAATGTCCACCTCCCGAGTTCAAGCGATCCTCCTGACTCAGCCTCCCTGAGTAGCTGGGATCACAGGCGTGCACCACCACACCTAGCTAATTTTTGTGTTCTCGCCATATTGGCCAGGATGATCTCTCTCAAATTCCTGTCGTCAAGTGATCGATCCACCCACCAGGCCTCCCGAAGGGCTGGGATTATGGCGTGAGCCACCGTGCCCAGCCTTGTTTTTCTCCTTTGAAGCTTATAGATCTTCCCTTTGACCTCAGTGTTTTGAATTTCCACAATGGATGCTTGGGTGTGGATCTCTTCTCATATACTGTACTAGGTACTTGGTAACCTGTATAGTCTAGATGGTCACATCCCTCCGTTCTGGGGACTTTCTCCGAATGATTTTGACGATGATTTTCTCCCCTCTGGAATGTCTGTTATTCACATAGGATAATCTATCCTGGTCTTGTCCTCTAGTTTTCTTCTCTTTTGTTTTTCTGTGGGATTTCTTCAACTTTGTCTTCCAGCCTTTGTGTTGCATTTTGTATTTGTTTGTATTTTACTTTATATGGTTTTCATAAATGTCTTGTGATCCTTGGCATCAGCTCACATTGAAGAGTGGGCCACTGGCTGGCTGCGATGGCTCACACCTACAATCCCAGTGCTTTAGGAGGCTTATGTGGGGTGATGACTTGAGGCCAGGAATTTGAGACCAGCCTGGGCAACAAAGGGATAACTCGTCTCTACAAAAATTTTTGTTAAATAGCTGGGTGTGGTGGCAAGTGCCAATAGTCCCAGCTGCTCGAGAGGCTAAGGCAGGAGTATTACTTGAGCCAGGGAGATAGATGCCGCAGTGAGCTGTGTTCATACTACCGTACTCCAGCTTGGGTGACAATGAAACCTTGTCTCAAAAAAAAAAAAAAAAAAAGGAGTGGGCCACCAAAAGGCTTGTTTGGAAAATGACCTGGGTAGGCAGCCATGGCCCTTGTGGCCTTCACTGTAGGATGGGTCTAGAAGTTGGGAGGAAGAGAAAGGCTGGCATCTCAGTTGGATTTTATTTATTTCCCCTGGTTTTCACTTAGATACTTGTTCTGTCCCTGTCTCCCTCCATGCTCACCTCTGTTAAGAGTGCCTCTGTTTCACCCTCTCCAGAAAATAAGGCTCTAGTCTGCTACTGGGGTGAAGGGTCTCCTGGCCTAGCAGAGTGCAGGAGGGACACCCCAAGGGCTAACTGCCTCTGCAGCCTTCCCGCCAGCCTTGCTGCTTTGGGCCCATCTCTCCTCCTATCTGCAGAGGTATTTGTGACCAGTTCCTATGCCCCATAGGAGTTCTGTAATGTCAGTTGGGTTGCTGCTCAGTTTTCCTCACTGTCATCTGCTTTTTAGCTCTAAAATTTTGTTCCTATGGTCTCTACTATTATATTTGGCCTTAAAAAGTTACGCCTTAGTGCTGAGCGCAGTGGCTCACGCCTGTAATCCCAGCACTTTGGGACGCTGAGGTGGGTGGATTACCTGAGGTCAGGAGTTCGAGACAGCCTGACCAACATGGTGAAACCCCGTCTCTACTAAAAATACAAAAATTAGCCCAGCGTGGTGGCGGGTGCCTGTAATCCCAGCTACTCAGGAGGCTGAGGCAGGAGAATCACTTGAACCTGGGAGGCGGAGGTTGCAGTGAGCATCGTTCCATTTCACTCCAGCCTGGGCAACAAGAGTGAAACTCCATCTCAAAAAAAAAAAAAAAAAAAAAAAATGTGCCTTAGACACAACCCAGAAACCCTTTTTGTAATGTTTTAGAAGTAAATGTAGATAAATGCGTGTGTTCAGTCCTTCATCTCTAATCAGAATTCTTTTTATTTTCTTGTTTCATTATCTGTTTAATAGATGCTTGCTATAGAGAACTTCAAAAGTATAGAAATGTGAGATGAAGGTAAAAAACATTCCTTAAATTCCTGTAGTGAGACTCAACCACCGGTATCATTTGGGCATATCTCCTTCTGGTCTTTTTTCTGTGCATTTTTTAATCTTATAAAAGGTGATTATTTCGGCCAGGCGTGGTGGCTCACACCTGTAATCCCACCACTTTGGGAGGCTGAGGTGGGCGAATCACGAGGTCAGGAGATCGAGACCATCCTGGCTAACATGGTGATACCCCGTCTCTACTAAAAATACAAAAAATTAGCCGGGCATGGTGGCAGGCGCCTGTAGTCCCAGCTACTCGGGAGGCTGAGGCAGGAGAAAGAATGGCGTGAACCCGGGAGGCGGAGCTTGCAGTGAGCCGAGATCGCGCCACTGCACTCTAGCCTGGGAGACAGCGAGACTCTGTCGCAAAAAAAAAAAAAAAAGTGATTTATTTCATGTTTAAAATTTTATATTCTGCTCTAAGAAAAAGTGAAACTTTTTCCCAATGTCATTATAAATTTCAAAATAATTATTTAAATAAGTGAATAAATGTATAGCCTTCTGTTGCAGGTTTAAAGAACAGCTTTTGGGTTGTTTTCTTTTTTTCTTTTTTTTTTGAGACAGTCTTGCTCTGTTGCCCACACTGGAGTGCAGTGGCGCAATCTTGGCTCACTGCAGCCTGTGCCTCCCAGGTTCAAGCGATTCTCCTGCCTCAGCCTCCCAAATTGCTGGGATTACAGGCAGCTGTTACCACACCCGGGTAATTTTTGGATTTGTAGTAGATTCAGGGTTTCACGATGTTGCCCAGGCTGGTCTCAAACTCCTGAGCTCAGTGATTCGCCTGCCTCAGCCTCCCAGAGTGCTGGGATTACAGGCCTGAGCTGCTGCGCTTGGCCAGTTATGTTTCCTGTTATACCATGGCAGTATAGTTTTCTGCATATTTTGATTTTTTTTCCCCTAGTCAAGATTCCTGTAAGTGAAACTACTGAATCAAAGTTCCGGATGCTTTAGGACTCTTGATATGTTGCTAACCTGTACCAATCCGGTTTATCCGCCACTGAATGAATATGCATTTTAATGTCCTGTACTGTTAAGCAATATTAGTTTTCCCTCTTAAATTTACAAATAAGGCTGAGTGTGGTGGCTCATGCCTAAAATCCCAGCACTTTGAGAGGCCAAGGTGGGCGGATTGCTTGAGCTCAGGAGTTCGAGACCAGCCTGGGCAACATAGCGAAACCACATCTCTACTAAAAATACAAAAAATTAGCCAGTTGTTGTGACGTACGCCTATAGTCCTAGCTACTCCAGAAGCTGCGGTGAGAGGATCACTTGAACCCAGGAGGCAGAGATTGCAGTGAGCCGAGATCATGCCAGTATATTTCAGCCTGGGCAATAGAGCAGTATTCTTTTCTCAAAAAAAAATTTTTTTTTTTTACAAATAAAAGAGTGGTTGCTTATTCTAAGTTACTTTTCTTTCATTGCAAATGATAGTTTTTTTACACATTTACTTTTCCTTTCTTTTGAAATATGTGTGTCTGTTTATCAGGGTCTTTGTGTTTCTCTTATTGATTTGTGTAGGATAAAGATAGTTCAACTACCTTATTCTCATACTTCGCTAAACACAGTAGGACTGAGAGTTTTGCAGGAATACCATAAACTGGTTCCTTCAGGGGCTGAGTTCTCAGATTTTTGATGGCTTTAAGTGAGAAGTTAATAGGAGGAGACAAAATAAGTACCAAGCTCTGTGGCCATCCTTGTGGATTTTACATCCGTGGCTATGATTAGCATGAAAAAACCCTTATAGCAATAGGAGAAACCTAAATAAAAGGAAAGCTTTACCACGGATTAGAAGATTCAGTATGTTGGGGGTGGCAGTTCTCCCACATTCATCCACAGAGCCATTGAGATGCCATCAAAATCCTGGTTGTTTGTGAGACTGGATGTGCTCATTTTAAATTCGGCATGGGCTCTATATTGTGAGAATGGGCAAAATACTCCAGAACTACATTGCCTTCTAGATGTCAAAGGACTATCTGGAAGATATGAGTAGAAACAAACCCATGATTATATGAACCTTGATCAATGAGAGGAAGTCTTACAGAGCAATGGGGCAATTTTAGGAAATGTTGCTGGGGCAAGAGGTATCCATGGGGAGAAATGAATTAGAAATTGGATCCTACCCACACCACACAAAAGCGAATTCAGGGTAAAGACTTAGATGCGGGGGAGGGAGGATTGCTTGAGCCTAGGAGTTCGAGACCAGCATGGGCAACATAGCAGACCCTGTCTCAAAAAAAAAAAAAAACCCACAACCCAAAACCTAGATGTGGAAAGGAAAGTTACAGATTTTAGAAGAAAATACACAGTATCTTGTGTAAGGAAGGAATTCTTTAAAAATAGGTCATCTGCTGGGTGTGGTGGCTCACTCCTATAATCCCAGCACTTTGGGAGGCCAAGGCAGGATGACTGCCTGAGGCCAGAAATTCAGGCCAGCCTGGTCAGTATGGCGAGACTCAATCTCTACAAAAAGTTTTTGGCCGGGTGAGGTGACTCACGCCTGTAATCCCAACACGTTGGGAGGCCAAGGTGGGTGGATCACGTGAGGTCAGGAGTTTGAGACCAGCCTGGCTGACACAGTGAACACTGTCTCTACTAAGAATACAAAAATTAGCCGGGTGTGGTGGCGTGCATTTGTAATCCTGTCTACTTGGGAGGTTTAGGTAGAGAATCAGAGAATCACTTGAACACAGGAGGCAGAGGTTGCAGTGAGCCGACATCATGCCACTGCACTGCAGCCTGGGCGGCAGAGCAAGACTCTGTCTCAAAAAAAAATAATGAAAAGAACTTTTCGGCTGGACCTGGTGGGTCATGCCTGTAATCCCAGCACTTTGGGAGGCCGAGGTGGGCAGGTAACCTGAGGTCGGGAGTTTGAGACCAGCCTGACCAACATGACGAAACCCTGTCTCTACTAAAAATACAAAAATTAGCCAGGCGTGATGGTGCATGCCTGTAATCCCAGCTACTTGGGAGGCTGAAGCAAGAGAATCACTTGAACCCGGGAGACAGAGGTTGCCATGAGCCAGGATCGTGCCATTGCACTCCAGCCTAGGCAACAAGAGCGAAACTCCATCTCTCTTTTGAAGTACATAACAATAACCTTTTCTCTTCATGTGCTTTTTAGCTCAGGTTCAGATTGAAGGAGATTTTTTGCCATGTTCCTTCTCTATACTTGAGGAACAGCCCATGGACATGCTTCTGGGACTGGACATGCTTAAACGGCATCAGGTAATTAAGAGCTTCACTTATCTTTTTTTTTTTGCATCTGCTTTTTGTAATATGGTTATTACATTATTTTTATTGGTTATGTATACTGGAAAACTAAGAAATACGACTTTTCAAACCTGGAAATGTCCTTAAATTATGTTGTTACACAAAGACTGAAATGATGTGTCAGTACAGATAGAATCTGTTTTTGTGAAATCTCTCTGTGAATCTGTTAAATCTTGCCAAATGTTTTGAGATCGTAAAGGACAGTTTGGTTCCCTTATATAATTTTCAGATTCTGGTTAGATCCTGATTAGTAGTTTTGTGATAACCTGACTAAAAGTGTAAGTCAAGTAAGTCTTTAGCATTCTCTGATGCTGATCAAACAGTACTTGGGAAGAAGACCTTCAAGGTTAAGGAAGGTGTATGTTACGAATGAAAGTGTTTATTTAATATAGGGTGCATAATTAATATATTAATTTGTGTTGATATTTATCTTTCTACTGTAAAGCACAGTATTTTAAGATATACTGCTGCCATTGAAGAAGCAGTTAGTCCATTGGGTAATTAAGACGAGATCGGGCATGTTCAGGGTGGTAGGGCTATAGACCCCACTGGGTACTTCACATTTTTCACAGTAGGGTTTTGTATCCAGTCAACCTGTCAGGTACGATAGTACACCCTGTAATTCCCATTTTTGGAGGCCAAGGAGGGAGGATTGCTTGAGACCAGAATGAGTTTGAGACTAGTCTGGGTGACTTAGTGAGACCCTGTCTCTACAAAAAATACAAAAATTAGCTAGGTGTGGTGGTACATTAGCTACTCGTGAGGCTGAGGCAAGGGGATCCCTTGAGACCAGGCTGCAGTGAGTCAAGATTGTGCCACTGCACTTCAGCCTGGGTAACAGAGCAAAACCACAACTCAAAAAACAAAATCGAGTTAAAAACAATTGAAAATATAGCTGATCAATATTTTTATGTCACTGTTTTAAAATATTTCTGTAAAAGTAGATGCATCATAGTGATAATAACACACAGCATTCTAAATAGAACGAATGAATGAATGAATGTATGTATCAGTAAAACCTTGTCACTGCCTTTTCTTATTTTTTTAGTCATGGTATAGACCTGCAGTCTCCACCTTTATAGATGTAAATCATATATGTGCACAACTGTCTATTAAGTAGTTATAAAATACACAAAAAAGGAAGTGAGCATTAGTATAGAGTAAAGAATACTGTGGAGACTGCCTTGCCTGGTGCCATCTTGGCTCACTGCAACCTCCGCCTCCCAGGTTCAAGCAATTCTTCTGCCTCAGCCTCCCAAGTGGCTAGGAGTTACAGGCATGTGCCACCACGCCTGGCTAATTTTTGTATTTTTAGTAGAGACGGGGTTTCACCGTGTTGGCCAGGCTGGTCTGGAACTCCTGACCTCAGGTGATCCACCCTCCTCAGCCTCCCAAAGTGCTGGGATTACAGGCATGAGCCACCGTGCCTGGCCATTTGTGATTGGAGTTTTAAATTAAGGATCATAATGTTTCTGCATGGTGTTTTATCTGCTATTATTCTTCGGTTGGTTTCTTCTAAGTGTTCCATTGACCTGAAGAAAAATGTACTCGTGATCGGCACCACAGGCTCCCAGACCACCTTTCTTCCTGAGGGAGAGCTACCAGAATGCGCCCGGTTGGCATATGGGGCCGGAAGAGAGGATGTACGGCCAGAGGAGATTGCAGACCAAGAATTAGCAGAAGCCCTTCAAAAATCAGCAGAGGATGCAGGTATTTGGAATGGCTGAACTCTTCAATACTTGTTATTAATGGGTAAGCCAGGGAAATGTGGGCTTCAGAAGGGGTAGGAACCTTTCCAGTTTTTAATCAGTCTCATGGTCCAGTAGTAGATGTGTTCATTATTTGTCTTCTTAACCTCCTCCTTTGATCTTCCCTTTTTTTTTTTTTTTTTTTTTTTTTTTGGGAGACGACGTCTCACTGTGTCACCCAGGTTGGAGTTCAGTGTGCAGTGTGACATGATTGTAGTTCACTGTACCCTTGACTTCCTGGGCTCAAGCAGTCCTCTCATCTCAGCCTCCTGAGTAGCTGGGACTACACCTGGCTAATTTTTTTTATTTTTAGCAGAGATGGGGAGATGGGGTCTTGCTGTGTTGTCCAGGCCTATCCAACTCCTGGGCTCAAGCAATCCTCCTGCCTTGGCCTCCCAAAGTGCTGGGATTACAAGTGTGAGCTACCATATCCAAACCCATCCCTTAATACAATAATAAAAAATTCTGTATTCTGCCCCAGTGTGGTGGCTCACGCCTGTTACCCAGTGCTTTGGGAGGCTCAGGTGGGCAGATCATCTGAAGTCGGGTGTTTGAGACCAGCCTGGCCATGGTGAAACCCCATCTCTACTAAAAATATAAAAATTAGCAGGGTGCAGTGGCACACCCCCGTAATGCCAGCTACTTGGGAGGCTGAGGCAGGAGAACTGCTTGAACTTGGGAGGCGGAGGTTGCAGTGAGCCAAGATGGCACCACTGCACTCCAGCCTGGGCAACAGAGTGAGACACTATCATAAAAAGGAGAAACATTCTGTATTTTAGTATTTCAACAGATTAAGAACAGCTAAGTCCATTGCTGTGTTTTAAGATAGATTGGAGTTATTTTGCTTAGATACATTTTAGAAGCTTCCTAAATTTTTTTAGGAAGTTTTTTTTGTATGTTTTTGTTTTGTGATTTTCCTAAAGAAAATTATGACAGTAAACAGATACTAACTTTTGAGTCCAACAGTGTTTCCCTATTTCTTTCCTTTTATTAGGCCTATTTTATTTTATTTTGTTTTTTTATTACTTTATTTTATTTTATTTTATTTTATTTTATTTTATTTTATTTGGTCTTACTCTGTTGCCCAGGCTGGAGTGCAGTGGCACAGCCATGGCTCACTGCAGCCTCAGCCTCAGTCTCAAAACAGGCTCAAGTGGATCCTCTTGCCTTAGCCTCCCAAAGTATTATAGGCATGAGCCACCATGCCTCTTAGACCTGGTTTATTTTGAAAGGTATCATTGCTACTGTGTGTAAGCAGCCCTAACGTTTAAAATATTTACTGAAAGTGCTGCCACCAAAGACAGAAGAACCAACAAAAAGAAGTATAAATTTTTATTTACCTAATTAAAAAAAAATTTTTTTTTGAGACAAAGTCTCACTCTGTCACCCAGGCTGATCCTCCCGTCTCCCCTTCGTGAGTAGCTATGACTACAGATGCTTGCCACCACGTCTAACTAATTTCTATATTTTTTGTAGAGATGAGGTTCTGCCATGTTGCCCAGGCTGGTCTTGAACTCCTGGGCTCAAGGAGTCCACCTGCCTCAGCCTCCCGAAATGACAGGATTATAGGAGCGAGCCACCATGCCTGACCAGCATAACTGAACATTACTGAAGATGCATTGTTATGGTCTGAGATTACAGTATTGTTATCAGGCCGTATTAGCACTGTATATATTGAAATTGTGCTACCTAATACTTCTTTCTAAGTCTCAGTTGTTTAGCTTGTTTAAATGTAATGATGGAGCTAAGTTTTCTGGATAAAATGGGGTAACACAGTTTTGCTGAAACCCCCCATTTATTATAGAACAGTGACTTTAGGATATATTTTCTAGAAGCTGAATAGAATTTACTTTTGAGTTTGGGTTATTTTACAGTCTTGTGCTGGAATTATTCATCAGTGTGACTAGTGTCACACATTGCTTTTTCTAGTACAGTAAAATACTAGATTTACAAGTTCAGGGAATAGCTTTATCCTAAAGACGAAAGGGGTGAGAGTTGTAAAAACAACCAGGCAACTTTTGCCACTGTTTTACTGCAGAACATTCAGATGTCCGTCATTGAGCTTTAGAATGGGTGTGGGTGGCAGATGGAGTTTTCCAGGTTGACTTTGTTCAGAATCAGCCCCATCACCTTTTGACTTAGTTTTACATGTAAAGTACAGTTTGAGTCAGGGCGTGGTGGCTCATGCTTGTGATCCCAGCACTGTGGTAGGCCGAGGCAGGAGGATCACTTGAGCCTGGGAGTTTGAAACCGGCCTGGGCAACATAGTGAGTGTCTGTCTCTACAAGGGAAAAAAAAAAGCCAGCCATGGTGGCGCACCTATAGTCTCAGCTGCTTGAGAAGCTGAGATGGGAGGATCACCTAACCCCAGGAGCTCAAGGCTGCTGTGAGCCATCGTTGCGCCACTGCACTCCAGCCTGGGTGACAGAGTGAGATCCTGTGTCAAAAAAAAAAAGAATTGACTCCCATCACCTTTTGGCTCAAGTTTTTATATTAAGTACAGTTTTGGTTGTAAATTGAGTATTTTGTAGGAAGGGGGGAATTTTGAACAACCAGACAAACTAACTTAGTAGTTTTAATCTTACCAGCAAGGTAAGCTTGAATGAGTTTGACATAGTTCCTTACAAAGTTTTGCATTTGGGGTGTAATTTATCATCTTAGTCATGATGCTGTGTGTTAATATGAGGATATATTATCATTTTATGAAATGTCTCTTTTCTTTTTTCCTTTTAACTTCCACAGTCTTGGTGCCATTATTTAAGAAACATCAGCTGATGATAGCAGTATTTTCTAACCTACTAATAACAGTTATCCTTTTTTGGTAATTACCATATTTTAATAAAAGTTTGGGAGATTAAAACAGATACACTTATGTTTCCAGGCTTAGTGAAGGGGATGTACCAACTTTAAAGAATTAAAAGAAAATGGCTTTTTACTTAAATAACCTTTTGTTGCTGGTAGTATGGCTTGTGCTAATTTTTGTAATATTTAAGTAATGAAATAAGTCTAGATATCAGGTCCTTTTTATTTAGAACATTGACTTCCTAATATCATCCGAATAAATACTCTAGACATAGTAGGTGAAAGTATTTTGTAAAATAGTAGGTGAAAGTATTTTAGTAGAGGTGAGGTTTCATGAGGTTTAGTAGAGATGAAACCTCATCTCTACTAAAAATACAAAAATTAGCCAGGCATGGTGTAATCCCAGCTACTCTGGAGGCTGAGGCAGGAGAATTGCTTGAACCCGGGATTCAGAGGTTGCAGTGGGCCAAGATCGCACCACTCTACTCCAGCCTGGGTGACAGAATGAGACTCCTTCTCCAAAAAAAAAAAAAAAAATTAGCCAGGCATGGTGGCGTGCACCTGTGGTCCAGCTGCTCGGGAGGGTGAGGTGGGAAGATCTCCTGATCCTGGGGAGGTCAAGGCTACAGTGAGTTGTGGTTGCACCACTGCACTCCAGCCTAGGCAACAGTGAGACTCTGTCTCAAGAAAAACAAACAAAAAACAAACAAAAAAAGCTTATTTTTTAAATACTTTATATAAACTCTATATTAAAATGTTAAAAAAAAAACAAAAACATGTTTTTAATAGTAGGGATGAGGTTTCACTATGTTGCCCCAGCTGGTTTTGAACTCCTGACCTCAAGTGATCCTCCTGGACCTCTCAAAGTGTTGGGATTGCAGGCCAGAGTCACTGTGCTCTGCCTGATGTATTATTTAAATACCGATGAAAAAATAAAGAAGATAAGCTAGGATAGAATTTAATTAGGTGGTTTGTTTTCCTCTAAAATTGAATCTCAACTGAGAAAGAAATTTGGAAAGGGACTGTTAGATACGTTCACTCAACTTTACTCCATAAGAAGTTTTTTTTACCACCTAATTCCATCGGATGTATCTGCTTTCTTCACCTGTCTCACATTTGCCCATGAATTCTCTATGTGTAGAAACATAAAATTAATTTCTTTACAAGATCTATTAAAAATCTGTTGAAATTAACAAATTGCTGTGTATATTGTGAGAGAATGAAAGCAACCAGCAAATATTTTGGATGTCCAAACTACAGAAACATCCCCCAACTTTGAATCTACCAGTTCCTGATTTTAAAGATGACAAAAGAACGGAGACTATAACCCTGCATGCTGTGTGGTTTGCATTGTTAACCCAAGTTTGCTTGTCTGTTTCCTAATTCACACAGAGCGTCAGAAGCCATGATGCATGTAGTGTGTGTGTACTGCAGCTGGAGTGGGCCCCAGACCAGGTATTTATAGACACCATGTTAAGCCTTCCATCCAGTTGTCATCTGTGATCTGAAAGTCTGTATCTGCAGCAGTTTGGGAAGTTAGCATTTGTCATTCAGCATTTCACCTTGTTCAGTCTGGTTACAACTAGCCTATATGCATTTGTATTTTGGTATGCATACATGCGTATGTAACATAAATTGCTGTTGAGAAATGTATTCTTTATTAGAACCATGCGAGAGGGAGAAAATCCCAGTAAAAACAGTGTCTATTATACCTGCCCCATCTTGGCTACTATAAATATCACGTCAAGAATATTGGCATCACAACACTTTGTTGTTGGAGATAACAATGCTTTTATGGATTTCATAAGTCCCTTTCCTCGGAAAAACTGAAAGTTATTTTTTTACATTACTGCACACAACTACCTGGAGTTATGGAGGGTTAGAAATTTTAATTTTGTTAAAGAAGAAATGGAAACTTAGGCCAGGGGACTTGTCAAGGGTGACTCTGTGAACAACAACAGGAGCTAAGGCTTTGCTTTTCCTTCTGTCCCTGGCCTGACAGATTTTCAGGAAGCACTCTGCTTTCCTCTGATGTAAATATGGTAAACATCAGCTCGAGTACATTGACTGACTTACTAAGAGGAGGAAAGATGGTCTTTTAAGCCATCATCGTAAGACTTTGTAGGAGTTTGCAGGCTGGTTGGAATTAGATACATAGCATTTAGTTTCTCTTCTTTCTTTCCTTTTTCTTTTTCTTGTAAGGATAGGTTAAAAGCAGGCATCGTTTAATTATTCTTGATATCCACTGTCCTCATCCTCTTTTCCTATCATTCTGTAAACTGACCTGGTCCTCCGCTTCATTTAGGACTTAGGCTAGTGAAACTGACCTTCTCAGCTACGGGAGGATTATATGCAACTTTTTTAGTACAAAATTAATTGAGGGTGTGTTCACCTTGACCTCACTTGTTTATAACTAACACACAAATACCAGAAGGCCCTTACCATACCTCTTTATGTTGCTTACATGGATATTTCACTACAATGCATTGTTTTTGTTAACATTAGTTCAAAATTCAGCCTCTTCCAGAGTCAGCCTTAGGAATTTATAAATAAAACTAATAACTGTTAGACATCTGGTGGGATGAAAATAAAAAAACTAATAACTGTGTTTCTAGACTCTAATGGGTATAGCCTAAACTGAGATAAGCGCAGTTTTCCTTTTTACCCCTAAAGTATAAGTAAGGTGAGGTTGTTTCATGGGAAGTCAATAGCTTTCTGAAACAGTGCTTTGTCTTCTCGTGCTGTTAACCAGTAGTTTATTAGAATGATTTAAAGCCATTTGAATATAACTGCTTTGCTTCTTTTTAAGATCAAGCCCCCTTGTTGGATGTTAACATTTAGTACTGAGCATTTGAGTTGCATCTGCCCTAATAATTGTATTTTGAAGTCATTTTTGTTACTGGCTTTTTGATTTTTATTTATTATTATTATTATTATTTTTTGACCAAGTTTCATTCTTTCATCCAGACTGGAGTGCAGTGGCGCAATCTTGGCTCACTGCAACCTCTCCCTCCTGGGTTCAAGCGATTCTTCTGCCTCAGCCTCCCGAGTAGCTGGGATTACAGGCACCCGCCACCACACCCGGCTAATTTTTGTATTTTTAGTAGAGATGAGGTTTCACCATGTTGGCCAGGCTGTTCTCGAACTCCTGACCTCAGGTGATCCACCTGCCTTGGCCTCCCAAAGTTCTGAGATTACAGGCATGAGCCACTGCGCCCAGCCCTTTTTGATTTTTAATTAAAGATCTTACAATGGTCGGGCGCAGCAGCTCTCGCCTGTAATCCCAGCACTTTGGGAGGCCGAGGCAAGCGGATCACCTGAGGTCAGGAGTTTGAGACCACGCTGACCGACATGGAGAAACCCCATCTCTACTAAAAATACAAAATTAGGCGTGTGGCGCATACGTGTAAGGGAGGCTGAGGCAGGAGAATTGCTTGAACCTGGGAGGCGGAGGTTGCAGTGAGCTGAGATGGCGCCATTGCACTTCTGCCTGGGCAACAAGAGCGAAACTCCGTCTCAAAAAAAAAAAAAAAATCTTACGTGCATAGAGGTCAATTTTTAACTGAATCAGTGGCAAAAGAAGAGCTGGAACTGATGTTTAATGATATCATTATGATGCTTACACTGAGCTAGTGTTTTAGACTGCCATCTTGTTTTGGTGGCCATTAAGTAGCAATGAATTTAAATAGTCATTGCCAATTGAAAAACTATTAATGAACCATCTCCCTCCACATTCCCCTTTCTTTAAAATACTTAAGTATTCTTAACTTAGTTGCACACTATTAATGTGATAAAAATTTACAAGCCTTTAAAGTTGTATTATTTGGTAGGATGATGATTGTGATTTAATCTGCTGATCATTCATTTACTTTTGTACTCTGAGTCAGATGCTCACCCAGTTTTACCATGATTTTTGGAAAGCTTGGCTAGAAATAAAATAGAACATTTGCTTCTGTGTCCCCAATCATTATGTTATTTCTTATTTCTCTTTATAATTCCCTCTCTGTCCAGGTATACCTGGTTTTAGACTTCTCATTTGTAACCTCAGTGTTCACAGTTGAAACTTTCAAAAAAGTGCATTAGCATGAGAATCATTCTGGTGCAAAGATTCTCACGATTTGTAATATCCTTAAGAATCACCCAAGGAGCTTATTGAAAATGCACATTCCTGGATTTACTCTCAAGTATGGTACCCCAGTGTCTGCATACATCACAAGCATCCCTGGTCGTTTTAGGGCAAGTGGTGAAAAAAATACACTTGGAGAAACTATTCTAGAGTTGTAGACTAGACTAGGGAATAAAGAAACATAAATGTCCTTCAGTCCTGAGCACTAACCCCGCCATTTTGTGAATGCATGTTAATGGTACTTAATCACATTGAATTACAGTGTGCATATTTTATTAAGAACACATCTACCTCTTATTCTGATGTTGTGATTGTCTACCACAATGAGAAAGTAATTTTAAAATCATTTCTATTTGTATAAGAGAAACTCGAGTTTGAGGACCTTATTTTATTCTGCCCTATTTAGATTCGTATCCTCTGGTAATTTAGTGGCGTTAGTTACCTGCTAATTAATATTTTTCCTTTCCCCTGTGTTCCATATAGAGAAAAGCGGTAAAGAATCTACCTCACTGGGAATGTCATCATTACCAACTTCAGATGGGTTTAACCATCCAGCCCATTCTTTAGGACAGAGTCCTGATACTGGTAATCCTATGAGTCTTGCTCGCTCTGTCTCTGCTTCAGTCTGCCCTATCAAGCCCAGTGACCCAGATAGCATTGAACCTAAAGCTGTGAAGGCTTTGAAGGCTTCAGCTGAATTCCAGATAAACTCTAAAAAGAAAGAACATCTTTCTTTACAAGATCTTTCCGATCATGCTTCCTCAGCAGACCATGCTCCAACAGACCAGAGTCCAGCTATACCTATGCAGAATTCATCCGAAGAAACAACTGTTGCAGGTAATCTGGAGAAATCTGCTGAAAGAAGCACCCAGGGCCTCAAATTTCATCTCCATACAAGACAGGAAGCTAGTTTATCTGTCACATCTACTAGGATGCATGAACCACAGATGTTTCTAGGTGAAAAGGATTGGCATCCAGAAAATCATAACCTGAGTCAAGTGAGTGACCCTCAGCAGCACGAACAAGCAGGGAATGAACAGTATGAGGTTGCACAACAAAAAGCTTCACATGACCGAGAATATCTTTGTAACATAGGGGACCTTGAGCTTCCTGAAGAAAGGCAACAGAATCAACACAAAATTGTTGATTTGGAAGCTACGATGAAAGGAAATGGGCTCCCACAGAATGTGGATCTTCCGAGTACGAAGAAAAGTATTCCACCTTCAGGATGCAGTGGCTGCTCAAATTCAGAAACACTTATGGAAATAGATATAGCTGAACAGTCCCTAGTTACTGTGCTTAATTCAACAGGCAGGCAGAATGCCGATGTCAAGAACATTGGTGCATTGGATCTCACTTTAGATAATCCCTTGATGGAAGTAGAAACATCAAAATGTAACCCTTCATCTGAAATTTTGAATGATTCCATTTCCACTCAGGATTTACAGTCCCCAGAAACTAATGTTGAAATATCTGGAACAAATAAAGAATATGGCCATTGCTCCTCCTCTCCAAGTCTCTGTGGCAGTTGTCAGCCCTCTGTGGAGTCAGCAGAAGAATCTTGTTCATCTATAACGGCCGCCTTGAAAGAACTTCATGAACTTTTGGTTGTTAGCAGTAAACCAGCTTCAGAAAATACATCTGAAGATGTAATCTTTCAATCAGAAACCATAGCTGAGGGCCAAACCAGTATTAAAGACCTTTCTGAAAGATGGACCCAAAATGAGCATCTTACCGGGACTGAACAGTGTCCACAAGTCTCCTTTCATCAGACCGTATCTGTATCAATGAAGACAGAAAAATTAACAGTTACTTCATCTGACACTGGAATAGAGGCTGTAGAAAGTGGAAACTTCAGGAGTCTAGGTGATGGTCTGTCAACTGATGAGGAAGGTGTCCCCAAATCGAGGGAATCCATAAACAAGAACAGTTCTGTCACTGTAACCTCAGCTAAAACATCTGATCAGTTACACTGCACCTTAGGTGTAGAAATTTCACCCAAACTTTTAGCAGGTGAGGAGGATGCACTCAATCAGACTTCTGAGCAAACTAAGTCTTTGTCATCCAATTTCATATTGGTTAAAGACTTAGGTCAGGGCATACAGAATTCAGTAACAGACAGGCCTGAAACCACAGAAAATGTCTGTCCTGAAGCTTCGAGGCTGTTACTTGAATATGAACCACCTACCAGCCATCCATCATCAAGTCCTGCCATTCTTCCACCATTGATTTTTCCTGCTGCAGATATTGACCGGATTCTCCGTGCTGGCTTTACTTTGCAGGAAGCTCTCGGAGCTTTGCATCGAGTTGGTGGGAATGCAGACCTTGCACTTCTTGTTTTGCTCGCAAAAAACATCGTAGTTCCTACATGACTATGGGAAAGTGGGCTAGACTGTTGTCCATTCCCTTTAAACAAAAGAAAGCTCTCTCTCTATACACATACACATACACACTCACCACATATACAGTATATGTAGAGACCTGCAAGCAGAATGTTGAGCCAGATTTTTTTTAAAGATTTTTTTCGGCCAAAGTAATTTATGATCTCTTGTCCGATGAATTTGTCTATCCTACTTGTTAAAATTTAGGCCTTTTTAAATGTATTGGCAGTATGTGCATACAAAAGCTTTTTATTCTCATTAAGATGTATCCTGGAATAAAATGGATGGTTTTGTGTATAGCATACTGTTTTAGAATGAGAGTAAATGCTTTGAAAAGCAAAAGCCATGAGAAATCCCACTACCCATCCAGCTAAAAACAGATTAACTCTCCATACTGTGTGTGTCTGTGCTGATGGCAAGGTGTGGCTTGCTGGCTCAGTTGTCAATTTAGAAACTTTTGACCACGTAGTTTGGTGTTTGGAATTCTACCCAGCGCTCTGTGTATCATGAATCATTAATTATAACAGGAAATTGGAGAATAATTGAATACCTTATCGTAGAGTGGTATGTTTTTATTTGTGTGCTTAGGATTTGACATTTTAATAGGGTGAGCAGGAGGGTTTAAATCTTGGGCTCCTTTGTGCATCGCAGGCTGCTGCATGGATTGCCATGAATCCTTATTACGTTGGATGGCATATTGTGGGGCAGTTACAACGAGAGTGAAACATGGTGCTATCCAGATTTTTAAAAGAACAGAACAACCATAATTCCATTTGCAGATGTCAAGAACTGTGAGGGAAAAATAATAGCCTAAACACTGGAATTTGCTAGAGTTTGGGTTTGCTAGCATCTCACTGATAACACCTCAACCCTTAATGACTAATGATGGACTTAAGTTCAGGAATGGATTGATTGCCAGCAGCTTATTTCCTTTCTAGACTCATCTTCTGCCAGGAAGTTCTTTAAACGCTCAGTGCGAGCTGTAATCTGAGTGAGATACTGAAGTGTGGTAACCTTGTCACTAGTTAATCTTGGTGCTTGGAATGGTCAGTCTATTTGGAGAGTGTCCTTTGTGGCAGTGGTCATAGTAATTACAGTTTCTGACTTAAGTGGCCTTGGTAGAGTTTTCCATCTTTTTCTTTCCTCAGGAGTTTCTTTTTTAAGCAAAATTCATCATATTTGTGTTTACCATGTCAAGTTAGAGTGGGGCATAATATATAGATGTATTTATTGTGGCCTTTTTTTATATAAGGACTAGCCCTTGGAAACCATCGTCCTGTGGGCCCCACTGTGCAATAACCCTACTGGATAGGTTTTAGATCATTCTTTCCTGGCAGACTGCTCTCTTGGGTACCTAGCAGGAATCTGAAATCTTGGTTTTATTGAAAAGAATTTTGAGATTCATAATTTCTGATTCTAGATTATAGTTAGTAACATGTTTGAAACAGACGCTTCGAAAGAGTGATTTCTCAACTTAGTGTTAAATGATGTCTGAAGTCTGACTCTTTGTAAGCTTGTTCGTTTCATCAAATTTTAAGTCATTGAGCACAATCAAAATGGAGGCTCATATCTCAGGAGTTTTTGAAATTTTAATTTAGGGGCACTTAGAGACCTTTTTTTCTACCCCATCCAACTTCTTTCTTTCCTTTTGCTATGATGTTTGTATGTATGTTACAAGACCTTAGTGACGGGATGGCAAGTCACGTAGATTCATCATGATCCTTTATGTAGTTAGGCAATGGTTGACAGAAGGAGTTGTAGTTTACTGCTTTTCAGAGGGCGCTAAGAACAGCAGGTCAGCCAGGCTGTCTTTAAGATGTTCTTTTAGACAGCTGCACATTGTAGACCCTTTCGCCTGCCCTACACCAAAGATGTACGATGCACTAGGAAACTGCTCATAGGATTTCTGTCAACTGACTTAAAGCTGTGATTGTAATTAAATAGTTGGTGCTATGATTGATGCAAAATATAGTAGCAATGCAATGGGACCCTGTATTTGCTTTATGGGTGGTGGTTTGGGAATGTATTCTAAGCTTATAAATCTTTGGAACCATGGGGTGGGAAGGGTCGGGGAACTTAATGATGACAATAGACTCCCTCCTAAAGGACCTTCCATATAAGCAGGACGAACCTTGGAGATTTGGGAAACAGTTCCAGGTGGAATATGTAATATCAGTCGGGGAAAGATTTCATTAGGATAGCTTTTTGTGTATGTATATGTATATTTATTTTTAGGAATAGATCTATAGTTGTACATGAATTCCTGTTAGGAATACTTTGAATGAGCTTAACCCACTTGCCAAATATCCTTGTCCCTTCCATCATTTTATTTTTGGTATGGGGTCTTGCAGTGTTGCCCAGGCTGGACTCAAACTCTGGGGCTCAAGCAATTCTTCCACCTCATCCTTCTAAGTAGCTGGGACTACATAAAGCCCAATGTATAATTGCTTTTGATTTTTAAAATCATCTTGCCCATCATTTTTATAAAAATTAAGCTGTTTGGCCAACACGGTGAAACCTCGTCTCTACTAAAAATACAAAAAATTAGCTGGGCGTGGTGGCACACGCCTGTAATCCCAGCTACTTGGGAGACTGAGGCAGGAGAATTGCTTGAACCTGGGAGATGGAGGTTGCAGTGAGCTGAGATTGCGCCACTGCACTCCAGCGTGGGTGGCAGAGTGAGACTGTGTCTCACCAAAAAAAAAAAAAAAAACGAAGCTGTTGACACTATTAATATTTTGGATGACTTAAATGTAGCAGCTCTAGAATGCAAAGGGTATATTAAGGAGCATTACAATAGCGGACCTTCATTGTCAGCTTTTATTCAATTAAGAGCTCCAAAAATGCAGAAATTATGGGTTAACTTCTAAGAATACAATCAAATCCCTGTGAATTCTGGTTGCCAACAGTAATAACCAGTAATGGGCACCTTTACTGGACAGCTCCTTTACCGTAACAAGTAGCGGGCAGTTTTGCGGTCAGCACTTACTGCAAGGGTGGTCTCTGTTTCTTCACCAAAGAGAGATTTTCCTGTGTAATTTGTGCCATTTCCCTGAAGTTGGTTCCTGAGCAGAAAGATGTGCTTAGTAACCAGACGGCAGCTTTACATAGGTTATAGATTTTGGTCACTGATGCTGTTAAGAATTATTTCCATACCTGTTCAGGGCTCCAGAAAGCCAGTAGCCTTCATCCCACAGTTTGGGCTTCAGCTATTAACACACAAAGATAACCAGTTGCAGCTGGGCACGGCGGCTCACGCCTGTAATCCCAGCACTTTGGGAGGCCAAGGCAGGTGGATCACCTGAGGTCAGGAGTCTGAGACAGGCCTGGCCAACATGGTGAAACTCCGTCTCTACTGAAAATTTAAAAATTAGCTGGGCATGGTGGTGCATGTCTGTAATTCCAGCTACTCAGGAGGCTGAGGCAGGAGAATCGCTTGAACCTGGGAAGCGGAGGTTGCAGTGAGATCACGCCATTGCTTGCCCTCCAGCCTGGGCAACAGGAGCGAAACTCCATCTC